GTAGATATTTGGTCGTATGTAGTACTTTGTCCAGCCTGTGGCCCAGATCAAGAGTTTCCTAAGTATGTGAAACACTATAGCATGTTTCATTTGAAACTGTAGTGATGATATTCAGCATGAAAATAGGGCTTTGGTATCCATGCTAAGAACAACAAACAAAAAAACCTAGCACTGCCCAACAAGATACCTGCAGTGAGCAGTAACTTCCTTCTCAGATGCATGGAAAATAAAGACACAGAGAGACACTCAGCTTCAGCTAAGACATAGTAATGCTCAGATAAGTTGAGGTAGATCAAGTATCAACAAAACCTGGCAGGAAAAATTCTAAATCTGCTGATTTAGCAGAAGACACTACTTAATTGATTCCACCTACCTGTTCATTCTAGTTTACTTCTAGACAATTTGTTAGTAAAGAAATTCAGGAATAGATTTATTTCCAGGAATTTGAGTTTTGTGTGCTCTTTAATACTGCAGGTACATAATATTGTCAACATTGGCTTTGTTTGTTTATAAGCATAATTTAAAGTAATTATAATTGGCAAAAAAATTGAAAATTAAGTAATGGTTAGTAGCTGTATCAAATTTTGGGGGGGGGGGGGTTGCCACACGTATTGTCAGAGGACAGGATGAAGAGAAAAGCGCTTTTCTTTATAAGTCTGTTTAAAAACAGATGGCTTTTTTTCATAATAAGATATATGATTTTTTTTTTTAATGCTACTGCACTTGAAGGCACATTTGTAGCATTTTAATAACCTAATCATTAAAGTTATCTTTAAAGTAGCTTTTGACAAAACAAAATTGACTGTCCTGTAATTGGACTTCACTGAAGAGTTCTCCTTTCTGGATCCATGTTTATTTTCTTACCTCAAAATTTAAAAAAAATTCAAAACAAAACAACCTAGAAAGTCAGTCAGTAACATAAGGCTTCAAAAAGATAGCGTAAACATCCTTCAAGAAACACCTGTTGAAGACTGAGGAAAATTCTTGAACTTTCCTCCCATCTTCCAGTGTTATGCAGTAGAGGATAATCTTACTCAAGATTTTGAAAGATTAATGAATGCCAGCTTCAGAGAGCTCTTTTTACCTGGTAAGTCATTCTTTATTGTATGCCAAGAACTACATTAGTGCAGCTTTTAAGCTTGGAAATCGATGTGCTTTTAAAAGCAGCTAAATTTTACCTCAGAATTTATTTTAGATACAACTCTTCTTACATATACCATATGCAGTTATAAAAGAAATGTTCACGTCTGCAAACATGCATCAAGGTTCTAGAAGCTGCCCAAATAAAATGTTATTAAGAGCT